AACAGAAAGTATTATTTTATCGAATAATTGAACTTATGAAACGACCGACGGAAGCTAAGTGCGTCCAAGAAAACTTTATATGAATAGTGAAGCTTGAAGTTGGTTTGATCAATGTTGGACAAAGGTTGAGTAGATAGTACATAGTGACTACAAAACATAAAGCTTGAGGCATCGATAAACTCTTTTATCACGTAGACTAATTCAAGGGCATGGTTTATGTTGTATCATTAGATATTATAATTAAATACACACTTAATAGAAAAACGAGTAGCTTAATACTTTGAGTGCAAATACTCTACTTTTATTTATAAGAAAATAAAAATTGGATGAACGTTAAATAATGTAATTTACTATATTCTATTTAATGTTTAGTACATATGTTCATATATTTTTACGTAAATTAAACAAATAATAATACGTTTATATCTTTCTTTCACATGTTAATACTTTCTTTCAAAATTTTAAACATGTATAAAGAAAAACATGAATTTGAACATTTTTTCATAAAATCTTAACCACATTCAATTTATTGTTAGGAAATTTATATTTACATATGTATATAGTTATCCAAAACTCATGAAACACATCAAAATACTGTCTAATTAGAGAAGGGTGATATACTAAACCATAGGTATTCAATTCCAACAAATATTGAGATCTGTTTTTTTCTTTGGTGATTCTTTCCATGAGATTTTACACATAACACAAAGGTGAGACAAAAACAAAATAGGAGAATCTTATGAGACGGGTGTTGGCTGAAGCCCAACAAATATGTTATAATAAAAACTATTTTAATTTGTCATTATGAAATTTCAGTTGACCAAGCCAAATTACTAAAAGTAATTAAATAAACCTGTAAAATAATTATTTGTTTTCTAATAGCTTATAATTCAAAAGAAAGAAAGAAAAAACAAGATTTGCCTCAAGACTCTCAATTGATTTTTTTTCTTTCTAAGACTGGACGTTTTCTTTTTATATATAGACAACATTGATTAGGACTCACAAGTAAGGGCTGAATTTTTTCGGTTTTCGAATAGTTAGATTGATGAACTTTTCTGTCATGTTGAAATTATAAATGTGGTTTTATATGAAAAGTTATGTAATACAAACTGTCTAAGAACATAGGCATGTGTGTTAGTATGTGCATATTGTAATATTTGAAAGACTTTAATTAGAAGCACTAACATTATACTTTAAGTAAGAATAACATTTTTGGCGCAGGAACTCAACAAATGTCTAATCTTATAACTTTTGTAAGTTGTGATAAATCAGTGCCTGTTTTTCTGCCTCTTGTCTCCAACTATCCCTGGCCAACTATATATATAAAACATAAATCATTTGTAAGTATATAAATGTGTGCGTGTGGACATGTGAAGGAGAGAGATAAGTCCAGAGATACACAGTTAAGTCATGTTTTACTTTTATATATTCCCTATATGTTAGGCGATTCAAATTATTCATCAGGCTAATTACCAATATATATATATATGCACATAAAAATGGTTGATTGAAACAAGTGATATTATCAAATCTATAAAGGCGAAAATAAAAGTGTTTTTCATTAATTTTTGGTAGAGAACTTCTACTACTGTATTTGTAACTGTGAGTTAAATCATTTCATGTTCAATATCTAGCTAATCTGGTTTATCGTTACTTAATTAAACTTAGTCAAAACATCAAATTTTGAATCCAATACACGTAAAATGATTTTAAAATTGTGATTATTGATCCATTGGATAATTTTATTAATTATATTCAAGTGGCATTGAAAACAACAGTTTTTTGGATTTTGATTTAACAATATGCATCATATAATCATATGCCTCAAAAATCATTGTTTAATACCCTAAACGCGTAAATAATAACAAGATGCCGGGATAGCTCAGCTGGTTAGAGCGTGTGGCTGTTAACCACAAGGTCGGAGGTTCGAACCCTCCTTCTGGCGATTTTTTATTATTTTTTTATCATCATCTTGAACTTAGAGGGTAAATTCGTCATTTAGGCAAACAACACGAATTATCCATCCATTTTCATCTCTTTCTTTCTTCACACAATCTCTTCTGCGGTTCTATTACCACTGTCTGATTATTGTTGTTGTTCTCAGACTCGAAGAAGATTCATTCATGGGTTTCCTTGTAGCTTCCATGAAATTTTCTCCTACCTTGATCCATGAACAAGTGAAACCGAAGCATGGATTTAATAAATGTATCATTTTTTTTTTCTCCATGAATTCAAGTATTTTTCTGGGGTTTGTATTTGAAGAATTAAAGTCTCTGTTTTTATGATTCTTTGGAAATGTTGAATCAATCATAAATCAAGAATAAAGTCTCTGTTCTGTGATTTCGAAGTTTTGGTTAATTAATGCATATGGGCTCTGTGTTTTAACAGATGAAGAGAGATCGTTGTTTCCTCGTCGTGGATTCTTGAAATGTTTTGGTGTTTCGTTATTGGCCACACTTGAGTTTTCGGGATTACAAGCTC